CTTCCTCGTAATAAGGATTTTTTATTATATCATTGATAAAATCAATTGTGTGTAGTTTGTGAGGATGATGATCATGAACCTTCATGTAACACCCAAAGATGCTCGGAGAACAAATTTGAATAATATGTTCCGTAATATATTTGGGATACTTTCTTCCTTCTTTAAGCAATGTTTTTATAAGCCAAGTTATCTGTGTGAATGTATATATATATATATATAATAAATATATTTGCGACACATTGTGACACTGAAGTAATTATACGATTGCATACCAAGTTGGAGTGTTTGTGCAAGATGTTGTCGGATGATATATTATAAAAGTTTGACATCAACATTTCGAAAATCGTACGTAGAAATTCGTTCTTTATATCCTTAAAGCATTTCAGCAACGTATCAGTTACCTTAAAACTGCAACCGCTGTTGACTTCAACTATCAGAATCGGCAAGTATTGATCGAAGATATCTCGAATCATTGCTTGCAATAATATATCGCTTTTGACATTCAATTTCTCCAGTCCGAGCATTATCATTGAGAATATCTTCTTTCCCAATTGCTTTATATACGACTGCGTAGAATTCTCTGGTACTAATATAATTTTATTGATGAGTGTTCTTAACATATCGTTTGGTTGATTCTGTGAAGGCAACATTTAGAATATAAAAATTTCAGCAGTGATTAAGTTATTACATATATTTTAGAATATTTACTTTAGTATATAGCATTGGAGAAATGCAGAGAATCAGTGTACCAAGACATCTATAAATCCAAAATGCAAGTTCCGAATCTTTTGTTTCTTCAGTTATAGGTATCATGATCCATTTCTCTAAATTCTTGAAATACGTTTTACATTTCGCGTTGTACTGATGCTTTTCTTGCTCAGACTGTAAAATTTTACAGTTGTATTAATTTGTTTTTGGACTGAACAAAACATGCTGGATTCATAAAATTAATACCTTTAAAATATTTAGTTTCTTCATAAACGATATTATGAATGTTAAAATAGGTTCGTCACTACTTTTAAATTCGTATATATCATAATCTGACACGAATATTTCTTTAATCTCATTAAGATTGATAATGTAATTTTGCAGAATCCTTATATCTTCCTTGCTTACATTGTAACCAACAATGGAACATTTTATCCAAGCCTGAAACATATATTTTATTAACTCTCTTCTAATTGCTTTGCAACGTGTAATGACAAAGCAAATTGATACAAACTTGGATAAGAATAGTATCAAAATTCGGAATTTCCTTTTTCAAATTTTGAACAGCTTCTTCATTCTCGAGAATAGACGTTAAATAATACAGAGTAATTCTAAAGATGAGATAATTTATTATTATACTATTTTCAATAGATATTGTTTTTCAGATAAAAACATTTTTACCTTATATCTTTGACAAATATCGATGCTGCAAAATGCTGAAATAAAGATGCAGCCGAATGTTTATACTTCTTAGCAGTAGCTGGTTCTCTAACTGCTTCTAAAGTGAATATGACAGCTAGTTTGGAAATAATTTTATAATTGTCACCAGTAAATACGGGATCGAAGACAAGTTGGCGAACTCTGGATGCAACGAAACACCACAGTGCGTCTAACATTTTTCTGGCACCATCTACAAGTATATTTTAGCGAATGTTTGTACTTTCGTCATATAAACTTGAAAATATATTATACGAAATCATAATATTAATATATTTGAATAAGTTTTTATAAGAACGAAGGATTCTTAATTTAAAAATATGTTTGAAATAAAACAAAGACATACCAACCCGAATTGTTACATGAAACTTGCAAGATGATACATTTTTCGAAAACATTCGCGATCATCTCTAATAAAGATCCAATTCTGTTCTTTTGGCACTCCAAAAGATAACGATCGATCCAACCACCAATAAAATTAAACTCTCCTAGATCCATTTTCTCATTGCCAGCCAAAATCGTGTTCAATACATCCACAAAATTGATCATCATGGAACGAGATGTTTCATCCTTCCGACAACTTATCAAGTTAATCTGTAAAAAAAAATCACGATTTACAAAAAAATATATATGATTTATATTTGTATAATTTATATGAGAAATGGAGCATACTGTTTCTGTAAAATGTCCAGCTATGGAACCAACAGATAATTTTCTTTCATTGAATAGCAAAAGACACGCTAATTTTCCTTTCCAAATTAGATTGCATTTTTTATTATAATCGTTATTCAATTCATGCGTAGATGGCAGAAGATCTAACATTGTTATACACTGTAAAAATGTACATTAATAAACATCGTTAATGAAGAATTTAGCAATCGTATATATTTTTTAACTCACAACGTTTGTATCTGCAGTAATAGCTAAAGTAATAAATAAAGATATGAAATTGTAGAGGCCACTCTCCGAGAATTCTGCGACTTTATTTTTCGAAAATTTCGTATATACACGACCCTTAATTTGATTCCAGTATTTCGGGTCTGACGTGCCGTATTTTTTCAAAAAGATTCCTAAAAGATTAACTTTCATGATACATTGAACACTCAAAATTTTCTATCTACCCACCTATCAAGTGTAAGAAAATGCCATAGCTAGATTCTTTGGAATGTTCAAACTTGCCATAAATTCTGTCATTAATCTGTTTCAAAATATCCGTAGCTGTCTTCCTAAAAAAAAATATTTGAACATATAACTATTTTGTATATAAGTTACTTGGACGTATACATACTTTTCAAGAGACAGGGCCCAAGGCCCAGAAGTTTGTAGTAGGAATGGTTGATCTAATCTTTTGTGGAAACAATCCCAAAGAAAAGATATAATTGGTACTCGTGGTTGCCACCAATTAATAATAAGATCGAGTAATAACGGTATTATGATCTTAAGCTCCACATCAAGCTCATCCCTTTCACCATCTTTTCCACCTTTACATACATATGTTTTTAGAACCTTTTCAACTTGTTCGCAGTTAGATTTAATCTGTAAATAAAAATATATCCGTTATACGATCTACGAAGTTTAATTTAATTTGTATCGTAATTACCCTTGAAGAATTAGATTGCAGATATACGCCATCATTACTGTATCCATACAACAGAGACAGATGATATATTATCCAAATGCAAAATAACTCTGGATTTTTACAATCTGGCAGAGAGGAATCTACGCTTCTGTGCCAAAAGATCGCTTGGGACTGATTCTTAGTTAGTATTCTATCGATACAATTATTTACAACATCCCAAAACATCTGAAATTTGATTATAAATACATCTATGAAACTATTACTACCTTGGTTATTATTATTAATACCTTAGTTTTTTTCCTTTCTCCTAAACTGTCGACAAATATTTGAAACATGAGCCATAATTCTCGCGTGCACGTGCAGCAGTATGGCGTTTTTTGCGTGAGGTCAATAGTCCAGTTTAAGGCTAACTGAACAAAAATAGAAATATAAAATATCATGTTTATATTATTATACAAACAAGTCAAATATTTTAATCATTTTCACCCTTTCAAATATTTTCAAGGTAGAATATAAGAGATCATTGATGATCATTTCAACAATAGTTTCAAACTCCTCCAGCTGTGTGTGATATTGGAACCATATAGTTTTCGAATGCATTAATGTTACAAAGAACCACCTTAACTCTATATGCATGTGGTACAAATGAAACTCTGACTGATTACACTGAAACAGAAATAACATTTTTGCTCGGCCAAAAAGACAATCAATTTTTTTAGTTACCTTATTCCCTATATTAGAAGCAGCATAATGCAAAGTCGAATCTGGGATGCTATGTAAAGTGCTAAGAAAGTGTTTAAGGCTATCAAATAGACTATCCACGTCTTTTCCAATTTCAGGCATTACTATTTCTAATGCGTTAAGATCCCATTTTATGCTATAATGTCAGGAATATAAGATGAATCAATTATTGCAAAAACATAGGGATAAGAAAGCATTGCATTTACCTGTTCATGTACATACGGAAATATACAATAAATTCGCAAATCATCTTTCTTAGAGAAAAGTAATTTACATTATCATTATTGCATGATCCAGATATTGTGATTGGCTTTTCCTGTCTGTTTAATATTTTCAATTGCATCCTGCAATAAAAAAATTAATGTAAGATTATAGATGGTGTAAAATCATAAACGATATTCATTCAATAATATTCAAAACATATACATGATAATGAAGATTTTGTTTTCAAAAAATATTCTTACTCCATGCAATTAATAAGATGTTTAAGATCCATTATGGCAATTGCTCCAGGCATGACGCAGTCAAAGAGTTTGACTTCCACATGTGAAAAGGGATAGTCGATTTGCGAAAAAAGTGCATTGTCCACTTCTCTGTGATAAAACAACCCAGTCCTGCTTAGTTGCCAGTCATTGACATTCACTTTGCCACTGCAGTCGAAAGTAGCATTGAGATCCATCTGTAATATTTGTGCTAAATCAGTACATTATAAAATTAAAGTGATATTACAACTTACAATATATTGGCTGCGTTCAGCAGAACAAATTTTGTAATCGTTTTATAATTGCTGAATATCTAAAAGTATAATCCAATCAGTACGAAGAAAATTTTCAACAGTTGCAAAATAAACGTTCTGCTGAACATAACTATTATAAGTAATAAATTTTTTGTATACTTCTCTGTATTTGCAATAATAGTTGTAAGATTCGCGTCTCAATCGCGTCGGGGAGACAAAAATTGCTCTCTCTCTCTCTCTCTCTCTCTCTCTCTCTCTCTCTCTTAACTAGCACTCGCGACCATCTCAATTATAATCTGATCATAAGTTGATTGTATAAGGCAAAAAAACCCAAAAGGCAACAAAACTGATAGTAAGCATAAAAAAACTCAGCAAGCTAATAAAAACTTGGGATCACAAAACATCCAAGCTGAAACAAAATACCTGGTTCGCGTTTGTCGTTAAACTGTTTAGATAAAAATCATGATGGAAATATGTATTCCCACCACGTAAAAATTGCATTTAAGATCCTGATGAAAATTCCAGATATTGAGAGAGAACGTGTCCAGATCTAGCAGACGACTTTATGTGTTTTGGCGGCATCTCCAGTGGCGCTGATCAAATGAATCACTGATGAACCGCGGAATCAATTGTGGAACAAAAGACGATTGAATTCGACTGACGGAAATCTGCGATAAAATATCACTATGTACAACCCAAAAACGTAATTTACCCATCTTAATTATTATTTGGAGTTAAATTATCATATCTAAGTATATATATATATATATATTATAATTATTTTCTCTGAAATTAAACTATTATATTTATGAAAAATACAAATCAATTAGTTTCAAGTAAACGCAATGAAATATCGCAATCATATGTACTCCACTTATTTCTCACGTTTTTCTCTCGTCTATTCTTTCATGTAATTTCTTTGTATTCCAGTTTCCCTATATCTCTCCATCTTTTCGCTTCTTTTCATTTCTCGTCAAGAGAAACCTCCCTTTCTCCGCCGCAGCCGCACGATTTCCAGAGGCGGCGCATTCAACGCCGTTGTTTACAAGCTCGCGCACAACAACGTCGAAGATGGCGGCAAAAGCGAGGAGCGCGTCGGACGAAGCGGCCACGTGCGCGTGAATATACACAACGATAGGACGCGAGCCCGATGCTGCATTGCTCGTTTTGAAGCGATTTATCCGTGAACGAGACGCGTACCGGACGCGTGACACGCGCACCCGAACTTGACCTGATCGCTCCAGTCGGCGGCAGCGGCGACGGCAGCGGCGGCGACAGCTGAGAAGATCTCGTGCCTGTAGACCTGATGACTCATCCGCTTACAATCGGATGACGATGCTTCTATGAGGAAGAACGATAACGTAGACACGGAGAATCCTTGGATCACACTGATCAACATGAATACTTTCAAAGATCTCCACGAGGAGGTACGTTGCATCCTCTCGTTGCGACCTCTCCTAAGCTAACAGGTTCTAGGAAGCATAGGTTAACTCTTCCGTGTCAGATTTGTATTTTAATCTGACGTGAATGTTTCTCATACGCTTCGTATAGATTCCTTGTCCCTGTGAAGCTTAAATGCACGTTATCCATTGTGTGTGTATATTTTGTCTTGAGAATTTTTTTAAATCAAATTCCTTTGTTTTAGAGGATACACGAAGGGTACACTAATGGATTTTACTCATATTTTGATTATGTACAATGTATTATTATATTTTTTATAATCTACAACTGTTTTTAATGAAATTTGGATTATATCTGTATTGTTTGATATTTCACAAAGATCTACTCTTTAATCTAGATGAGATAAAGAAAAATGAACTTGTAATTGTTTATTTTTACAGCCTCCTTTATTACAAGCTATATTTCATGGAAATGTGGAGGCAGTTCGTACATTGCTATCGCAAAAAGAGGATGTTAATTGGCAAGACAAGGAGCAGCGTTCTCTTTTACATGCGGCAGCATATAGGTTAATATCTTAGTTAAAGAAAATGCTTCAATAATGTCTGCGAAAAATCTATTTCTACTAATATATATTAACTTTTTTTTTTCAACTTCTTCATCTTTTTCTAACTTTAAAATTAGAAAAAATGAAGAGTAAATTAAATCAAGATTACAATTTATTTACATTATTAGAAAAGGTTTATTTCATTTAAATATAGATCAAGGTAGTTTACTCTTTTTATCTGTTTCCAATTCTTAGAACTAAAAGAATATAAAAAAAATAAGTTAATCCAAATTAATATATTGATAAAAAACGAATGGACTAGAAGTTATTTTAATTATTATATAATTAAAATGACATTCACGTTTCAGAGGAGACACCGCTATTGTAGAACTTCTCTTGTTAAACGGTGCAGCAGTCAACAGCAAAGATAAAAAATGGTTGACTCCTTTGCACCGAGCCTGCTGCTCGGGAAATTACAACGTAGTGGACGTTTTATTGAGATACAAAGCGGATGTAAATGCTCGAGATCGTAGTTGGCAGACGCCTCTTCATGTAGCAGCTGCAAATAACGCTGTGCAATGTATAGAACTTTTAATGCCACATTTGTTAAATATCAATGTCTCAGACAGGTGCATATTTTTGATTATTGTACAACATCTCACAATTGAAAATTATAGATTTATAATAAATTGTTGACAAGTATTAAATACATATAGATTATTAAATTTGTAATTTCTGCAGAGGCGGGAAAACATGTCTTCATCATGCGGTGTATAACGGACATCTTGAAATGTGCGAATATTTAATGCAATTTGGTTGCGCGATAAATGCCTCCGACAAGAAAGACCGAAGGGCTTTGCATTTCGCGGCGTACAAAGGCCACAATGAAATTGTGAAAGTTCTAATAACCAAAGGCGTTGAAGTGGATGTTAAAGTACTAATTTGTTATAAAACTTGTTTTAAAACTTTTTTATCCTAGGTGTAAATATTATACGTTTTTCTATGTTTAGGATCGAGATTTATATACTCCGTTACATGCAGCAGCTGCTTCTGGTAATGTAGAATGTGTGCACATTTTAATCAAAGCTGGAGGTGATATCGAGGCCAAGAACGTGTACGGAAATACACCGTTGCATATCGCATGTTTAAACGGATGTCCGCTCGTGATTAAGGAACTTATAGCTAATCGCGTTAATTTAGGTGGGCTATTATTAGGATTTGAATAGCTCGATTCGTGACATTTGAATAAACGTTATATTTGTTGTTCACAACAGAGGCCGTAAATTATCGAGGGCAAACTGCATTGCATGTTGCTGCTGCCAGCGTACATGGTGTTCACTGTTTCAAGATGCTGATCTACAATGGGTTGAAGGTCAATGTTCAGTCGGAAGACGGTCGTACACCCTTGCATATGACTGCGATCCATGGAAGATTTACGAGATCTAAAACGTTGCTAGATGCAGGAGCTTTTCCAGACGCGAGAGATAAAAATGGAAATACAGCATTGCATATTGCCGCCTGGTAAATCACCTGGACATAGGATTCTGTAATTTGAACAAAATTATAACAATAAAATTTCAAATTACAGGTTTGGTTTCGAGTGTCTGACGACATCTCTATTGGAAAGCGCTGCATCTCCAGCTACGCGCAACGCACAGCAACGTACACCTTTGCATCTGAGTTGCCTAGCGGGACATATAGAAGTGAGTCATATATTTTTTCGGTATCTATACTACAGCTGCTTTCCTTTTGGAAGACAGTCGATGCAAACATCGTTCTATATTTCTTTGCATTCGATAATAAAGATACATGAAATTTATCATATCATATTTCTTAAAAAGAAAGTAACCTACATTTGATTTATATTACGATGATTTATGAATGTCTGATTTGGTTTTATTGTACCGTAGGTTTGTAGAAAATTATTGCAACTCGATAGCAGGCGAATTGACGCGCGAGATATCGGTGGCAGAACAGCTTTACATTTGGCAGCATTTAAGGTAGCGTATCATTTTATCTTTTAATCTTTTATTAATATAATATTAATATTTCTTGAATTTAATAGCATAAATCGATATGTGACAAGAGAAAGAATATATTGGACTTATTAAACAGGGTTCAGTAGACTGCTTGGATCTGCTGTTGTCTAGTGGTGCCAATTTCCGTCTTGTCGACAACGACAATCGATTGGCTCTTCATCATGCTGCATGTCAAGGACATTACCCTTGCGTCTTCACTCTGGTTGGATTCGGTAGCGATTCAAACGCTCAAGACGTGAATGGCGCAACGCCGTTACATCTGGCTGCAGCGGCATCGAATTCTAATGCTCAGTCAGTATCGTTTTCTTTCTAGCGCGTCAATTTCTCAAATTTATTTTATGATTTATTTTATGATTTTATGTCTATATGATTTATTTTAATTTCATGCAGATCTTTCAAGTGCGTGCAGTACTTGCTGCAGCATCGGGCAGATCCGCGTTTACGTGACAAACGTGGTTTTACTGCCATCCATTATGCGGTGGCTGGTGGCAACAAAGCGGCACTAGAAGCGCTTCTGAATGCGTCATCGTCACCTTCAAATTTGACCACTTCGCTCAATTCTTCGACCGGTCAAGAGCCATCCCTGCCGGCACTCACTCCGATACATCTCGCGGTACGTAAACGCAAAAGATACGTAAAATTAAATCAAAATTCATATTAATCCTAATCTAAAATGAAATTTTAGAATTTAACATGGACGGATCAAAAAATTGAAAAATATTTGACGAATTTATTCTATATTAAATTTTGCATTTTTTATTTACTTTTTCTCTTTATAAGAATTTTTATTATAAAAAAGCAATTTTTATATAATTTTTCATTACTTATATTGTACACAATGAATTGTTTTTTTCTAAGAGAAAACAATTAGTATTTTTATAGATTTATTCAAGATTTTTTAGTAAAAAAGGAGTATGTGAAAAATTATCAAATTATATATTACAAATTAAAGTGTGTTAATTTGTAATATATCTTTCATTTTAAATTTACAACCTTGTAACTTTATTAGTTTATGTGCAGTTTAATTAATTAAAAAAAATGTGTTTTTTTCGTTTTAATTTTTTATATCTAAAAGCATTATATTGTTAATTGTTAATTAAAATATCATTAAAAATGATAGTTTTTTCTTAGTTTAAGTTTCTATTATAAATATAAATTATATCAATAGGTATGTGCATATTAGTAGTTAAGTATAAAAAAAACATTAAAAACATTAAGGAGAAAAAGGTGGGACATATTTGTCCCACTGTCCCTGTAAGGGTTAACAGGCATATCACGGTCACGACGAGATCTTGCAGCTGCTTCTGCCCTTGTTTCCTAATACAAATATCAAGGAAGACAGCGGAAAGACGCCGTTAGACTTGGCTGCCTACAAGGGGCATAAACAGTGCATCATACTTCTGTTGCGATTTGGTGCTTCTGTGGCAGTGCAGGTGAGAAGAACTTGAATTCTTCGCTTGGTAAGCGTACATTCACACGCGTAACATTAATGTCATCGTGTTTCTAGGATTCCGTTACGAAACGCACACCTGTGCATTGTGCCGCTGCCACAGGTCATGCGGATTGCCTGGCTCTTCTTCTGCAAAACATGGATGATTCCAATGTGGTAAATTGTTACGATT